GTCCCGTTTTCCTTATTTACATATCAGCTTCCCCCCCCCTCCCGGGGTCCAGGGATGATTGACAGTTGTCCCATCTGGATGGAGCTATTTGACAATATTCCCAAAGACCTGAGAATCCGGACCCAACGAAATCAAAATAAATTATAATTGTAAATGAAGCCCTGTACATAACCATCCCCCAAAGCATATTGTAAATAAGATCATCTAGGTTGCTCTTTATGAGCGGCACCTAATAAAGTTATTTAGAACTAGAATGAGACATTGTAAGTGTCTTTTCAACCTTTGAGAAGAGAGGGTGAAGGGGACACAAAAATAGGCTATGATGCCAGATATTCAAGTAGCCATCTGTGGGAAATGGTGAGTGTCGTGGATATAAGATATTGTCGATTCAAAGTGACAACAGATTTGGTTTTGTTTCGATTTGTATATAAGGGCACAGATAAATATTGAATTTAGTTTTGAATTTAACTTAGTATTATATACTACCACACATACAACACTGGCCATTATAAAAAACCTCACTATAAAGGGCTTACACGAGAAAAAAAAATATTCGACTTGGAGATGAAAATTATTAGAATATTTCAACACAGAAAAATCGGCTAATCAAGATTCATATTTTTGCAAAAAAAAAAAAAAAAAAAAGAAATAAGCCATGGATCTGTTAGCAATATCATACAGAAAGTTATAAATGCCATAAAGTGTCATCACGTTGGGTACCAAGGCAGCTGACCGATGATCATAAACAAAATCGTGTGTTTCACAAGCCCATTTATCACGATTTCTAAGAGAAGCAAATGATTTTTTATACACTATTATTACTTGTGATGAGACCTGGCTCTATCATTTTGAACCAGAGTAAAAAAAAAAAAACAATCAATGAAGTAGCGACGTTCATGTTCCCCAAAGCCAAAAAGAAAAAAAAAAGATTCAAGCTTTAGCAGGCAAAGTTTTAGCCACCTTTTTTGAGACTCAAAAGGAGTAATATACATTGATTATTTGGAATAAAAATGTACAATAAATTCATAATACAGTAATCCCTCGTTATCACGAACTCGGATTATACGAACTCTCGGTTTGCGCGAACCGTTTCTTTTCCCCCGTTAAATTTCAATGCTTTCCAAAGAGATTTTGCCGGTTAAGACGAAATATTCGGTTATGACGAAATACGAGTTAAATTTAGCCCCCAGCAGAACTAATCAATCGGTTAAAACGAATTCTAATATGTTTTTAAAGGCGAGTTATAAGTAAAACAATAAACTATTAAAACAACAAAAACGCCGTTGATATCAAGTATTGGCTCTCTTTGTCTTTTGTGTAAACATTCGTCCTTTGTTTGTTATGATGACTCATTTTCTATGAAAAAGTCCCCTTGGGGTCGTTCCATGTACTCAATCAGTGGAAAATTTCGACTCTATTGTGCCAGTATTGCTGTTTTTCTCGACTGATAAATGTAGGGGCCATGGTGACCCCTGCCAGCCAGCAGCCAAGGAGCGCGCGCTTTCACGGAATTTCACAGAATATTATATTATTCTTATTTTTATACAAAACATATATTTAAAAATATTAAATATAATATAAATAATAAAAATATATTCTGTGAATAATAATCTGTGTAAATCGAGCTCTCAGAAGAAAAAGGACTTATTTCTATTTGTTATATCTTTTTTATAACCGACTAATTGATTGTAATCCCGGGTAGTTGGCGACTTCTGTACGCTCCAGGAACCTGGGTTACTTAAATAAATAATAATTGATTGTATTATAAAATAATGCGCTTGAAATAAAAATTATTAAATTCTAAATAATCGAGTGTGAATTGTTTGAGCTTCCATAAAAAAAAACTACATAAACATGTCATCTAAACCGCGAAAAAAAAAGCGCCATTGATCTTGCCTTAAAAAAGAAAATTTTGGACGAAGTTGCACGTGGAGTGTTATCTAAGTAGCAAATTGCCGAAAATTTTCAAATTGCGAAATCCACATTATCAACCATTCTAAAAACAAAGAAAAAATAGATGCGGCTGTTGCCTCAGGGTCTTCGAGCTCTTCAAAACGACTTCGAAAAGCATCTCATCAAGACGTGGAAGATGAGCTTTTGAAATGGTTTTAAAAAAGTAGACAAAATAATATTCCTGTATCCGGCGCACTTGTCGAAGAAAAGGCTAAAGAAATAAGTGTCTCATTGGGTGTGGAAAAAACAGCTGATTTGTTTTCACTTCCAGAAACAATGCTTGATGAGCCTGAAGAATGGACCAAACTCCTTTCAGCTACAAACCCAGCTGAGACTGACTTTCCTGGAGTATGTTGCCCTGGATGAAGGGTTGGAAATTTGCGGTTCACCCGAATTAGAAGAAAAGAAGAAAGAAGAAGAAGAAACAGAAGACGATGAGGTGAAAGAAGAGATAATGATGCCTACTAGAGGGGAAGTAATCGCGGCCCTCGAAACCCTCCAGAAGCTGTCCAAAACCTCTGCGGATATTGATGTTCATTTTGAAGATGACCTGGATAAAATAAGAAGGGAGTGTCTGAAACAGTGCCCAATCAAATACCACCAAAAAACTATAACAGACTTTCTGAAGCCTGCAGAGAAAATCCAGATATAGGATACTCTATGCATATGCTGCATACACATAAACATTGTATGTACCAAGTATATTATGTAAGTTGTTTCTTTTGTTGTTCTTTTTTATTTGTGTTTTAAAATAAACTTGTATTCTCATGTTATTGCCTTACATTGTGAATATATTGTCTTTTAAAATAAAATACTTTATGTACATACATATACATAATTGTTGTTCCTAAAAATTATAAAATATTTTCATTAATATTGTTTTCAAATAAATTTATTCGTTATTCCTCAGAAATGTAGTTTTCTTACTCATCAGTAGTACATAAGTACAACCCCCGGATACCACGAATTCAATTCGTCTAATACGAATTCGGTTTATACGAATTATTTTAAGACGAAAAGGGTATTTCGTTCTCCCGTTGAGTTCGTCTTAACGAGGGATTACTGTACTACTCTAATATGCTTAAAGGTCCAGTATGTTATGCTATACGTCGGAAAGGACCAGGAAAGCTTCCACCATTGACAATACTCGTCCACACTCGGCCAAACACACTATGGAAACTTTAAGAACATCCCTATTGTCCCGATCTTGCTCCTTGTGACTTTCATCTTTTTAATCATAACTTAAAGCTGCTCTACATGGCAAAATTTCTCGACAAATTTGGAGGTGGAAAAGCGTTGACTTTTCTTAGAATTTTTAATGAAACTGATTCCAAGAATATATTATTAATTAAACATTATATTTATTGATTTACAAGAGAGAGAACAAAATATAAAGGGGAAACTAATATTAAAATAAAGGAACCTTTTTTTATTTCAGTTAGCGCCTATTTACCCGTGAGCACTCAGTGGTAACAATTAATTAATATATACAACACACACTCCCCTGTGTGTAAGCCCTAAATCAGCAAGTCCAAGGCTATCTGCACATATCCGTAGTTTGTCCTTTGGTAGCTTCTTCGTTAGTATATCCGCCTCCATGTCTTCACTTTCAGTGTATGCCAGTTTGATTCCATTTTGAATTTCCTCTTTCACAAAATAATACTTTCGGTTTATGTGCTTTGTTCGTGAAGTGATTTTGTCAGATTGTATCCAGTTTATTGCAGCCTGGCTGTCACTTTTCAAGGTAATTGGGAAAGTTACATTTTCACAAGGTTCTTCTAGTAATCCCTTTAACCATAATACTTCTGAAATGCCTTCACATATTGAAATAAGTTCTGCTTCACATGTAGACAAGGCTACTAAATTTTGCTTTCTACTTCTCCAGTTTATTAAGTTGTTGCCAAGTTTGACTGTATAGCCTGAATAGGATTTTGCGTCTCGGGTTGTGCACCAGCTCGCATCAGTACTTATTGTAATATTGTTGTCTTTTGACTTATATGCCAACATTTTATTTCTTGTTCCCTTCAGATATCTATAGATCCTTTTAACTCCAGTTAAGTGTATTTCTCTCGGGTCATTACGATACTGAGATAAATTGCTGACGTTGAAGGATATGTCCGGTCGAGTACCCGTAGAAAAGTACATAAGTGATCAAATCATTTCCTGGTATACAGTTTTATCTACTGGCTTGGAGTCCAAATATTCACCCAAAATTTGATTTTGATCTCCAGGTGTCAACACGCTGTTGCATTCGTCCAGTCCAAATCTATGAAGAATTGTATCAATATAATGAGTCTGAGATAGATAAAATCCATCTTCTGCCCTTTTTATTTCAATTCCAATAAATGGTTCACTATCTTTCTTTTATGTTAGAGTAACATATTTCTCTATTTTTGAGGCTAGGTTATCATTAATTTTCTTACTAGTTAAAGCGATGAGAGATCATCTACATATAGACCCAGTAATGGAGTATAAACACATGGATCTCATTTGGTTCTAATCATTCCCAAATGGTATGAAATTTCATTGATCCTTTTGCTCCAACATTTTCATGATTGTGTTGGACCATACAAGCTTTTTTACAATTTGCACACTTTGTTTTCTTCTCATTTTTGCATAAAACCATCTGGTTGTCTCATCTATGCAGCTTCTTCTAACTCACCATAGAGATAAGCTGTCTTCATATCATAAGTCTTTATGAGTAAATTCTCTTGCGTTGCAAGAGCTACTATTGTTCGCAAGCTTTCCTTTTTGAGTACAGGTGAGAGAGATTCCTTATAATCTACACCATATTTTTGATTGCATCCAACAGCAACTAGTCTGGCTTTTCTTTTATATAAGCGACTAGACGAATGGCCCGGGCAACGCCCGGTTTTACCCGAGTGCGAATATATTTTAAAAACGTTTTAATTCAAATACTATTCGTTACAATTATAAATTTGCGCCATGGATGTCACTCTTGTGAAACGTCCCGTTCCAAACTGTGTGTTTTTAAAATGTTTTAACTATATATAATATAACGGTATAATAACGGTATAAAGAAATAATGAGTCTATAGCCTAGTGGTCATGGCATCTGCCCGGTAAGCGGAAGGTCGTGGGTTCGATTCCCATTTTTTTATTTTATCCATTCTGACCAAAATCTATCCGTGAACTTCACACAGACAGAATAAGGCAATTATATAAGTAGATCTTCATCTTGTCTACACCTTGTATACATCTTGCTTCCTAGGGTTGCCTAGAGTGGCCGCTATAGACAGGTGTATGTATCACACAGCTGATAACAGGGTTATCTAGAATGGCCGCTATATACAGGATGGTCTGTATAGACAGGTGGATGTATCACACAGCTGATAACAGGGTTGTCTAGAGTGGTCGCTATAGACAGGGTGGTCTATATAGACAGGTGTATGTATCACACTGCTGATAACAGGGTTGCCTAAAGTGACCGCTATAGACAGGGTGGTCTGTATAGACAGGTGAATGTAACACACTGATGATAACAGGGTTGCCTAAAGTGACCGCTATAGACAGGGTGGTCTGTATAGACAGGTGGATGTATCACACAGCTGATAACAGGGTTGTCTAGAGTGGCCGCTATAGACAGGTGTATGTATCACACAGCTGATAACAGGGTTATCTAGAATGGCCGCTATATACAGGATGGTCTGTATAGACAGGTGGATGTATCACACAGCTGATAACAGGGTTGTCTAGAGTGGCCGCTATATACAGGGTGGTCTGTATAGACAGGTGGATGTATCACACAGCTGATAACAGGGTTGTCTAAAGTGACCGCTATAGACAGGGTGGTCTGTATAGACAGGTGGATGTATCACACAGCTGATAACAGGGTTGCCTAGAGTGGCCTCTATAGACAGGGTGGTCTGTATAGACAGGTGGATGTATCACACAGCTGATAACAGGGTTGTCTAGAGTGGTCGCTATAGACAGGGTGGTCTGTATAGACAGGTGTATGTATCACACTGCTGATAACAGGGTTGCCTAAAGTGACCGCTATAGACAGGGTGGTCTGTATATACAGGTGAATGTAACACACTGATGATAACAGGGTTGCCTAAAGTGACCGCTATAGACAGGGTGGTCTGTATAGACAGGTGGATGTATCACACAGCTGATAACAGGGTTGTCTAGAGTGGCCGCTATAGACAGGTGTATGTATCACACAGCTGATAACAGGGTTAGCTAGAATGGCCGCTATATACAGGATGGTCTGTATAGACAGGTGGATGTATCACACAGCTGATAACAGGGTTGTCTAGAGTGGCCGCTATATACAGGGTGGTCTGTATAGACAGGTGGATGTATCACACAGCTGATAACAGGGTTGTCTAGAGTGGTCTCTATTGACAGGGTGGTCTGTATAGACAGGTGTATGTATCACACAGCTGATAACAGGGTTGTCTAAAGTGACCGCTATAGACAGGGTGGTCTGTATAGACAGGTGGATGTATCACACAGCTGATAACAGGGTTGTCTAGAGTGGCCGCTATAGACAGGTGTGGGTTGCCTAAAGTGACCGCTTTAGACAGGGTGGTCTGTATAGACAGGTGGATGTATCACACAGCTGATAACAGGGTTGTCTAGAGTGGCCGCTATAGACAGGTGTATGTATCACACAGCTGATAACAGGGTTATCTAGAATGGCCGCTATATACAGGGTGGTCTGTATAGACAGGTGGATGTATCACACAGCTGATAACAGGGTTGTCTAGAGTGGCCGCTATATACAGGGTGGTCTGTATAGACAGGTGTATGTATCACACTGCTGATAACAGGGTTGCCTAAAGTGACCGCTATAGACAGGGTGGTCTGTATAGACAGGTGAATGTAACACACTGATGATAACAGGGTTGCCTAAAGTGACCGCTATAGACAGGGTGGTCTGTATAGACAGGTGGATGTATCACACAGCTGATAACAGGGTTGTCTAGAGTGGTCGCTTTTGACAGGGTGGTCTGTATAGACAGGTGTATGTATCACACAGCTGATAACAGGGTTGTCTAGAGGGGGGCAGGGAGGACACGTGTTCGCCGGCAACCAATGGGCGCGCATTCTATCCGTGAGCTTCAGACATACATACAGAATAAGGCAATTATATAAGTAGATTATTTGATTTTTTATTCGTACTGTAGACCGATTTATTGTTGATAACTTTATTCCATTTTCCTTTGGTATCAGTGTCCAGACTTTATGTTTCTATATCTCACTGAGCTCTTCCATTGCTTTGAGCCATTCCTTTCTTTCTCTACTATTCATTACTTCTTTAAAGTTCTCCGGAATATAATGATTTCCATAATTAAATTCGCTTCATTCTTATCCTTGATTCTTTGTGAATGTCGAACTCCTTCTTCAATCAATTTCCTTTATTTTTCTTCAAGTCTTGTTTTGTGCCGTTCTTCTAAGATTATCTTTGTTTCTCCTTTCTTTCTTCCTCTTTTTATGCATCTTTCCTCTATCGGTTCTGTTTGTGATGAGTCATTTTCACAGTCACCACCTGGTTTTACTGAAGTATCCTCCTGAGACTTCATTTCACTCTCTGTGACAGGATTGTCTTCTTTCAAGATAAGAAAGTCTTCAACTATTTCTTCATAATTTACTTTATAGGTCAAATTATCACAATTACTATCTTCCTGAATATCATTTGCATAATCAATTCCTCTCTTATCTTCACTAAATTTTACTGATCTGACTTCATGGATTCTCTTTGTCATTATATCATATATTCTGTAGGCTTTTCTTTTAATGGAATAAACAATAAATATTCCCTTTCTACCCTTTGGGGAAAACTTGTTTCTTCTTGATTTGCTCTCAAGCCAATGTGTCAAACATCCAAATATTCGAATGTGTTTGACCGATGGTTTCCTGCCATTCGATCTCTGCATAGGTGTATGGTGCTTGATAGACCTGTGGGGGTACAATACTCAATGTATGCAGCTGTAGCAATTGCCTCTGCCCAAAACTTCATGGGTAATTTTGAGTCAATTAGTAAGGTTCTCGCTGTATCTATAAGAGTCCTATTCACTCTCTCTGCGACTCCATTACTTTGTGGTGAGTATGTTGTGGTAAGTTGGTGATGGATCCCACTTCTCTTGAAAAGTCCTTCAAATCTAGAGTTACAAAATTCAGTTCCATTGTCCGTTCTTACATCTTTTATTCTAAGACTTAATTCGTTTTTGGCTCTTGCTTTAACTTCTTCAAATCTCTCAAAGGTCTCATCTTTTGATCTCAGGAAATATACAAAGATTCTTCTACTGTAATCATCTACTATAACAAGAAAATACTTAGATCCTCCTAAAGATTGACATGGAATTGGTCCACATAAATCCATATGAATCAACTGCAGAGGCTTAACTGTATAATTCTCTGTAATATTATATGGCTTCTTCACCAGTTTTTCCATTATGCATGCTTCGCACTCTGGTAACCTTTCAAATTTTAGATCCAAACCTCTTACAATATGTCCGTGAATCATTTTTTCATGTATTCTTCATTTATATGGTTTAATCTCTTATGCCATAAACTTATATTGCTATTTTTATTTGATAATTGTGTATTTATAACCATGAGATTTTCATTTTCTGCTATTGGTACATTTCTTAGTTTTGTTTCCATCATAAACCTTCTATCTTTAATATATGCTTCAGCAACTAAATCATTACCTTCATTATAAATTTTTGCTCCATCCTTATTGAAAATAACTGAATTTCCTTTGTTGACTAATTCGTAAACTGACAAGAAATTATTCCTTAAATTTGGTACATGTAAGATATCTTTGATGCAAATATTTTATTGGCCTTCACTTGTGCATGTAGTAAGTCTCATATCTCCTTTGGCTGTGGCTTGGGTAGTTTTGCCCTTCTCAGCTAGGCTGATTTCACTTTCATAATCTATCATATTTTCCATCAAAGTTAGGTTTGAGGTTAAATGTGCGGTGCATCCTGAATCTATACACCATATTTGCCTATCATTTCTCTCATCTGGTGAATCTTCAAATTCTTTTACATATGTTTCAAATGCTTGCTCATTAATTCCACTTTTCATAGTATCCATTAGGTTATTTGAATGTTCCCTACTGTATTTGTGATTTCTATAATCAGGAGTCCATTTCTTTTGATATCCTTGTTTCTGTTTATCTCGAAACCAGCAATCATTAGCTAGATGTCCCTTTTTATTACAAACAAAACATATTTTTGGCTGAAATTATTTAACTTTTCTATCTTTAATTCTATATGCTTGTTCATGCCCATTCTCAACCAATTGATTTAATCTCATATTTCTTCTTGACTCCTCTTCTCTTAGAGTTTGTTGAATCTCTTTAATTGTTGCCTCTCTCTTTGGTCGTAAGACAATAGCAATATTTTCATACTTTGGATGTATGCCTCTGACAATATGAAATGAAAGTTCTCTTGTGGTAAATTGATGCCCTAATGATGAACTTCTAGCAGCAATATTTTTTACCCTTGTTATATATTCATCTACAGTTTCATTATCTTTCATTTTAATGTTCTTTAATTCTAAGCCTATATCAATAATTTTATCTTCCAAATTAGCTGTGTATGTTTTTTTCAGTGAGTCCCATACTTTCTTAGCATTTGTTTCACCTATGAACATTCCAGCTTGTTCATTAGTCAATTCTGTGATGATTATCCCAAAGGCTTCATCATTTTTATCACTCCAAATCTTCCAAGAACTTTTGTCTTCCATATCAGGTTCTGGATCGGAAATTACACATTTAAATAATTTTCTTCCTCTTAAAACTGCGCCGATTTTCAACGCCCATATTTGATAATTAGTTCCTGTTAATGGTTCAATTTTTGTTTGGGATAAAAAATTATATTCAGCCATTTTCGCCTTTTGAGCTAATATAAACAAACCAATATAATTTAAAAACAAATATATATTTTTAATTTATTTAAATATTGGGTAGCTTTTAAACATGCAATATATAGATATAATTTAACTTAATCTATATAAATACCTTTAAACTTCTTAGAAGTGCTTCAGTTTACCGATCAGAATAAACTTCTTGCTTAATCTTCAGATTAAATATTTTCGTTTTGAGCTTTATATCAAATAACCACGCTCTGCTACCAATTGT